CTCACCCCTGGTTATCTTCCCTCTCCTCCTTCCTCTTCCCAGGTGTGGATCCCTCGTGCCAGCCGAGGTGGTAACCTGCCACCATGGGGGTTAAATCGATGCTCCCCAGCTATGAACTGGGGTTTTATGCTCTCGTGGTTTCATGTGCTGTGGTGTACAGTGGCAGTGGGATCTTCGAAGCATCCAGAGGTAACACTTCCCATTACATACCCCTGGATGGGACCCTGGGAGGGAGGATGGATGTAAGGTGGCTGCTTTTCCAGCTGTTGATGCCTGCAGCAGATCACATGCTTTCATTTTTGCAGAGAACACCTTGGAAATCCTTTCCAAAGGGATTTTTGCCTTTTTGCCTGGTTGTCTCCTTGTCTCCATATCCACAGCTCAGGGCAAGTGGCTGTGGGATGTCACAGCTCTCCAGCCAGTGCCCAAAAACAGCAACCAACAGGGCTGCTTCCCAATATTTTTTTTAGTCTGGAATCCCACAAACCTGAAAACTTCATGGGATCAGCCAGGGGATGTGCAGTGGTAAAAAGGCTTTTCTGGAAATTCTTGCAGAAACACCTGCAGTCTCTGGCTCCTATGGGTGTCCATGGCAATCAGGCACTTTTGGGATGGGGTGTTTGGGCCCTGATGGCTCTTCATCACAACGATGAAGGCTCCTTGCCTTGCTTGAACCCAGACCTCATTTCCCAGAGCTGTTTCTCTCCCTGTAACTCTGGTTCTTTTGTAGACAGCATGAACAGAAAGGCCTTTCGGGATGGCATAAAGCCAGGCTGGCACTACTTTGGCAGGAAGATGGTAAGTGGAGGAAGGACTTGGTCTTTTCTAGCTACAGACATCATGGTCAGTGCTGACCACGGGAGAAGCAGAGCTGTTTTTTCTGCTGCTGACACACTTTTGCAAAGTCCATGTGACTAAAGAAGTAGTCAGGAAAATATCAACCCTGCAGCACTGTGGATACTCTGCTTTGTGTGCGCTGAGACAAGCAACCCCTGCACATCTCTCCTGGGGTTTTGTGTCCAAGCTAAAGTGCTTGGGAGCCCTTGGGTGGAAAATGGGAGGAAAAGGCTTTGAAAGTTATGTGGGTGAGGCAGGGGTGTGAGGGCTAGGGGCAGTAAGGTGGTGCTTCTCCTGCAGGACGTGGCTGATTTTGAGTGGGTGATGTGGTTCACCTCATTCAGGAATGTCATCATCTTTGCCCTCTCGGGACATGTCCTCTTTGGCAAGATCTGCTCCATGACAGTGCCACAGGTGAGCCAGGGGTGTGGTGGGATGGATTTGAAAGCACCAGGGCGACCTGGGATCTGTGGAAGGGCCTTGGGGGATGCTCTAGGGTGGGGGGATGCTCTGGGATAGAGGGAGTGGGGCTGTGGCTTTCACCAAGCTGACCACAATCACGGTTGCTGTCTCTCCCAGCACCGGGCTGTGATGTACATGCTGTATGGGATCTCAGCCGTGCTGGGCAGCATGGGACTTGTCTACTTGATGATCATCCTCTCCCACTGCCTTGTCCTCTACTCCGTTGCATTGGCCAAGCAGAAATGGCTTTGCTATGTGGCTGGGCTCTGCTGTCTCGCCTCCTTCAAGCTGGAGCCATTCGGTTCATGGCAGGTAGGTGCTGTCTTGGGCCATGTGTCAGCCTCATTTCCAGCCCACTGGAAATGTGTCCATCCAGTGTCCATATCCTTGGGTTTGCCTCCAAGGAGGGCTCCTGGGGCACTCACAGAACTTGGCCATTTCTCCTGGCTTCATCAGAGTTCCCACGAGGTTTGTGTTAGGGTTTGGTAGGAGCTTTGTGCTGCTGAGCCTGGGAGTAATCCCATAGGAGCTGTGTTGTGTTTTGATGGCTTCATGCTGGGCCAAAGTTCAGGACACCTAAGTCCTTCTTGCTGCCCAGACAACAGCTTGTCAGCCAGGCAAGATGGGTTCCTGCCCCATGCTTCGGTTTCCCCACCTGTAACACAGAGCTGGGATGGGTTCAGCGATGCCCATTCCTAAGGTCCCTGCCCAGTTAAGACTTTCACTGGTGGGTGGACAGAAGGCCATCAAACTATTCAGTCCCTCTTCAGGACAATGCTGCCTCTCCCTGTCTACTGCTTCCCTCCAAAAATGTGTTCCCTTCCTCTCCATCAGCCTTGTGCTGGCTTTGCTTCACTCCTTGGGGAGGGTTATGTCCCTATGACAGGGTTACATGGCCACCCCAGACCAAAGCCTGTGTGACCCACAGCTCCTTGGTGAAGACATGGCCAAGAGAATCTACCACTTCCTCACTACTCCAGTATGCAGGAGCCAGCTGAGAAATCAAGCCCTAGTTTTATCTTTCCAGCTCATTAGCTCCAGGAACAATTGGTGTCAGAGCACAATTAGAGGCTTTGTCTGAACTGAAAACTAAACTGAAAGAGGTCAGGGTTAGATGAGATGTTAGGAAGAAATTCTTCCCTGTGACGGTGGGGAGGCACTGGCACAGGTTGCCCAGAGAAGCAGTGGCTGCCCCATCCCTGGAAGTGTTGGAGCTGGGTTGAATGGGGCTTGAAGCAAACTGGTCTAATGAAAGGTGTTCCTGCCCATTGCAGGGGGTTGGAATGAGATGGTCTTTTAGGTCCCTTCCAACCCAAACCATTCTAGGATTCTGTGCCACCCCAGGAGTGATGTCCTCCACAAAGCAAGGGAGCACAGAAGTGACACCATGTTCCTGGTGGTAACTCTTCATTTCTTATCCAGAGCGGGTTTGTAACGGGAGCTTTTGATCTTCAAGATGTCCTCTTCTACGGAGGAAGCACCTTCACCATCATGCGCTGTATGAGCTTTGCACTCGAGAGCTCTGAGAAGAAAGAGGGCATCTACTCTATCTTTGACCTCCTCAAGTACAACTTCTATCTCCCATTCTTCTTCTTTGGGCCTGTCATGACATTTGACCAGTTCCACGCCCAGGTGAGTGCTCCTGAGGCTGGGCTGGAGGAGGACTTCTCCCTAAGTTTATTTGCTTGGGTTTAATGTTTACAGAACCCCACCTGTTACCACAGTGAAGGTGCAAATGGTTCTAGAACTTGTTGTGGTCACTGAGAGTGTGTGGCCATAGTCTGGGAGGTGCAATTTGTGGGGAGGGGCAAAATTGGATGGGTTTTTAACCTTTTGGTTGGGGTTTTCAGTCATTCCCACTGATGAATTCAGAAGGGAAGATATTTCTGTGGTGAAAGCATCATGCTGGGATGAGGAGAGGAGGGTTCAGCCCATGTCCTACCTCACTGGTCATCTGCACTGCTTGGTGCCCCAGCAGCTCCACACTGCACCTCTGAGTGGTGCTGGGAGGCTGCAGTGAGGGTCTGACATGGGACCTCTGTGTGCTGGTGGCTGTGACAACAAAGGCAGTGTCACATTTTCATCCAGCTGCTTTGCCCCAGGAGGATGGTTTGCCTTAAGAAGAAATTATTTCTCTAGAAACAAGTATGTTTGGGTGGAAGGCTGTGGGCTTCCAGGGACTTCCTCTATGCTCCATTAAATACTCCTGATGCTCCAAATCTTCCTGTATCACACAACCAAGGAAGCTTTTGGATGAGCAGACTCCAAACAGCACTGGGAAACAGGAACAGAAGCCTGGGCTGGGACCCGCAGACTTCTGGAGCTACTTTACAGCCAAAGATCAAGGAAACTGACAGTGCTCTCTCCCTCCTTTCTTCCCATCTCAATGTCCTTATACACCGATGATCAGCCTTGGTCATCAAGCGATCTGGTGCTGCTGGCTAAGGGAGAGACCTCTTGCTTGGTCAGTATGCTGCTGGAGGAGGATTCCCACCACTCATCTGAGTCCTTCTGAAGAACAGCAACATCAAATTTTTGGACCAAAATTGATGTCTGGGTGCATGAGAGTTTTGGAAATACATTTCTGAATTCAGATGAAAAACCAGCCCAGGGCAGGGAAAAGTGGCCAGAGCCTCATGGTGAGGAGAAGACCAAAGACTCATCAGCCCAGCACCTTCTCTCCAATGTGGGGCTGGTACTGGTTGCCTAAGAGCGGGTCTGCACTGGGCTTGTTTCCTCCAGAGAGCAGGATGAGCCCTGATTCAAGTCCTGCTCTTTGCTAGTTCACTCACCCGTGGAATTAACAACCTCATGCTGCATGTTGAAAGGAACAAGAGCCCTCAGGTCCTACATGATCTGTTTAAAAGGACTTTGACCCTGAAGATCATAAGGTCAGTTCTGGTGTCCCCTTAAGGGATGCAGTCAGGTACCTATAAATTGGGACATTAAGTTCCTCATGTTTCCAACACCTGAACTCCCACTGCTCCTACCAGGCTTGATCTAGGAGGAATTTCATTTCCTCCTTCTTTGCACAGCCCGAAACCAGGATGTCTACAGCCATTTTATGAACAAGTCTCCTCTGCTGCTTAAAACGCTGCCCCCAAAGGCACAAGGAGCAAGTCCCCAACCCCTTCCCATGCCCCGGCCAGGGGTCCTGTCTTGGCCTGGCCACCACTGCCATCTCCTGGCTAGATCCCCCCTGCACTGTTGGAGCTGCAGCTGATTGCAGAGGTGAATTCTTAATTGCCCAACAGCAATTAGGGCCGGAGACCCTAATTAGGCAGATGGAGTCCCTCCTCTGGGTTGGAGAATATGACCCAGTTAGGCAATGGATCTCTCCCTTTTGCTCCTACTGGTCCTACATCCTGGTGGAGCCCTTGCACCCCAATGTGAGATGGGAACTCATCTATACCAGGGCTTGGTCAGCCCCATTTGAGCTGAGAAGCATCTTCCTTACTAGGATCACGGAAACAAATTCACTTTGGGAAGTGAATGTAGGGTTGGGAGTGTGGGGGACAGAGTCCTGATCCCAAGGGGATGGTGGCCGTGTGCTGTCACCACATGCAGACATGAGGATGAGAGGAAATGGCCTCATGTTGTGCCAGGAGAGGTTTGACTGGATATTAGGAAAAATGTCTTTAAGTAAAAGGTTGTCAAGCATTGGAACAGGCTGCCCAAGGAAGTAGTGGAGTCACCATTCCTGGTGGGATTTAAGAGACGTGTAGATGTGGCACTTGGAGGCATGGTTAGTGATGACATTGGCAGTGTTGGGTTAACAGTTGGATTTGCTAATCTTAAGGGTCTTTTCCAACCAAAACAATTCTATGACTCTATGAAAGGAGGGATCCATGTCCTCCCACATGACTCCATGCCAGAGTCTGTCCTCCTCAGCTTCTCCTCCAGCTTAGGGTCCAGTGACCTCTTTGTATCCTCAAAGCACCTGGCCCATAACAGACATGAAAAAATCTGGCAAGGGCTTTAATTCTCAGGAATCATCTGGATTTGACAACAGAGCTGGTGCGGCAGCCTGTGGATTATGCAGGGAGAGCTCCCACCTCTCACAGGGAATAAAGGGAAAGTAATAAACATAAGAGGATTTTGAATACAGCAGCAATTTTATGGCGATGCGGGGAAGCAAGGACATTGCTCTGCCCGGTGTAATCCTGAAAGCTCTCTCTGATGATATTTATATTACAACAGCCAGAGATATGACAGCTCCTGGAGGCAAACCTCAGCCCCTGCATATACAAGACACAGCAGAGATGAAATCCCCATCAATCAGGTCCCAGCTGATTTGGGACAGCCCCTCAAGCAGCTCTCCCTCTCATTTCCAGCAGGAGTCTGCAACAGAAGCTTCAGAGATCATCAGTCATCCTCCTCCCAGATGACCCTGGCCAAAAATACATCAGGCCCTGGCAGAGCTGTCAGGTGGGATTCCAGCCCTGGAATCCATCCTGTAGATGTGATGGGTACAGGCATTTTCTCCCCCTTAGCACTCTGTGCGAGGGGGTGTCCTTAAGCAAAGTTGACTTTCTGAACAAGTCTCTGCACAAAGAGCATAAACCCTGGCAGCTCCTTGGATTTTATCCCACCTTGAGTCCCTCAGGTTCAGCCAGACCTGTTACTGCTGTGCCTCACCATGTGCCTGTTCTGCTGGAAACCTCAGTGATGGGAACAGGAGCATGATGCAGGAGGCACATAGCTGACATGCTCAGCACTGAGGGTGTTGGAGGGATGCTGTGGGTGAGACATGTCCTGCTCCTTGTGGATGTGCTTACCTGAGGCAGTCCTTGGGTCTGCCTTAATCAATAGAAATTTGGGTCACATAGTTCATGGTGTGATTTCAAAGGAAAGCAATGAGTCCCTATTTGGACCTTGACCATTCTTCTGGATGGAGCACTATGCTGCCCATCCTGGCTCAGCCCTTTCCTGGTTTGTCCATCCTGGCAGGTGAGCACCCGAGAGCTAAGACGCAAAGACGATGAGATGAAGAACATTCGGGTCAATGCTCTCCTCCACGTGGGGGCCATCATCACTGTGGACATCTTCTTCCACTTCTTCTACATCCTCACCCTCCCTTCCGACCTGAAGTTTGTGAACCGCCTCTCGGATTGGTCCCTGGGTGAGTGGCCATGCTTGGACACGTTCACACCTGTCCTCAGCTTCAAGGCAGTGGTGAGTGATTCACATCTCCATTCACCTCCACTGAGAGGCTTTGGCAATGCCTGTGTTGGACAGGTTTGAGTAAAATCCTCTTCTTTCTGTTGACCACACACAGAACTGAGGTTGGGCAGCCCTGGAAAGCAGATGGTGTTGGTCTGTCCTTGTTATAGTGTAGATGGTTTAGTCTAGGGTTTAAGGAGCTGAGCACAAAGCCATTCCAATTGCCTTTATCTGGACTGGAAGGGAGCTCAGCACCTCCAAAAAATTAGCAGGACACAGCAAACAACATGCACCCAGGCAAAGCCTGATTGCAGGTAAGGAATGTTGTTCATAGAGTGGTCAAACACTGAAATAGGTGCCCAGAGGGATTACAGATTATCCCAAAATAGTAGTATTCAACACTTAAATGGACAATGTCCAGAACAATGTAATCTCCATTTGAAGTTGGCTGTTCTATAAGCAGGGCTGGACTAGGGACCTCTAGAAGCCAAACTCCTGGGGTAAGTGGTGGTAGCAGTGCTGGCCTTCAGCTGGCAGCTAGATGGAGGCTTTCAGCTGGTCAAATACACACCTGATGGCAGCATTTGAGACACCACCCACACAGCAGAGGACAAGCAGGAACTGGAAAAACCCCATGTCTCTCCAGAGTGGCAGCTGGAAGCCAGGATAAAATCCTAGTGCAGCTGGAATGGCACTAGCATTGATTTAGAATGTTCTAAGAGACCTGTGTGGACTGACTACACGTGTTACTCCATATGGAGCTGAGCTCTTCTGACTGTACTGACCAGATCTGCCTGGTCCACAGTGGGAGCATTGATGCACTATGTGGCCCTTCATCTGTGAGATGAACCACACCAATATTGGGGCATTTTGGCTTCTGTTTGCATAGGAATTTGATATCTTTAGCGTCTGTGCCTGTAGGGTTTGTCTCCCAGTGTCAGACACCTCTCCAAGACAGAGGTCCTGGCCCTAGCTCTGCTGAAACATCAAAAACCTGGGGTAGAGGGCATTTTGGAGGTGCCAGTAAAACCTCAGAGGTCACAGTTAAGAACTGTAATGAGTTCATCACAGGTTAGAAGGAGGGAACAATTTTGCACTGGAATAAATGACTGTTATATAGAATTTTTTTGACCAATAAACAGTCTGCTCCCAAATACCATGAGAAGAGATTGCTCTTTGGTTTAAGTCTCTTGAAAATCTTAGTTTTAAAAGCTTTGCTGGTCCAAGGCAGCATTAGACTGCCCTCTTGATGCTATGTTTATTGCAGTAGACTTTGTGCTCCCATGGGACACGGTGTCCCCAAAAGTCCTGAGGGTGACACATTCTGTGTTCCTCTTCCCCCACTTGACTCTTGTTTTTGCTTCAGCTGGTCTGGCCTACTCCAATTTGGTGTACGACTGGGTGAAAGCTGCTGTCATGTTTGGGGTCATCAACACCATCGCCAGACTGGACCATTTGGAGCCACCTCAGCCCCCAAAATGCATCACCCTGCTCTACATATTTGCAGAAACGTGAGTACCCCACGTGCACCAACAAAGAGGGACAGCAGGTTTGAGCTGAACAAAACACGCATGGCAGGGAGGACATCTGGGATGCTTCCCTGAGCAGCTGGTCTGTGAGTTGGAGACCACCTACACTGAACAGTCCATACTGAACCTATAGTCTAGACCTGCTCACAGTCCAGGGGAATATTCTTGGGCAGGAAGCAATAGATAAGGAGAGAAGTTAAACCACATTGATAGTGGGACCTTTCCAGGGAAGGAGCATGGAGAACTTCTGTGAGCAAGGTCCAGAATGTACCTTGCCAGGGGACTGGGTACCTTGCCAGGGGACACTCTGGAAGGGTGTTTTAACATGGTTTTTATTGTCTTCACTCTGTGTCTTAACATGTTTTTATCATCTGCATTTTAGGCATTTTGACAGAGGCATTAATGACTGGCTGTGCAAGTAAGTGTCTAATCGACCACCTCTAGTCTGGTGCAGGGTCTTTTCTTTCATTACATAGCAAGGAAGTATCAAATGTTATTCATCCCAAAACTGTGGCATCTTCTCTTCTGGGTAAATCCCACCATTTATTCTGTTTACCCCCCAAACTGTTGAATGAATTGCCACATCCCTCACCTCCAAACTTGGGAGCAAGAGAGTCCTGTCCCAGAAATCCCTTTAAGTCTGGTGGGTTTAGTGTTCCCTCAAAGGAGGAAGAGTCAGGTTCATATTCTACGAGGAGAAAAGGGAATTGAGCTCAGGTCTCCCATATCCTGTAGATCTACATCTCCCTCAGTGCTTGATCTCCCTTCAGCCATGAGTATAACCAGCAAACCTGTACTGAAGGTGATGAGCAGTCTCTGTGATGAAATCCTGTGCACCAACAAGTCTTGAGAGTCTGCAGCTCTACAAATCCCCAAGTTTTAGCAACCCTTTACCTGCAAGAGGGAGAAAGGAGAGTGTTTTGTCCTTAAAGATCCATAGGTTTGTGAGGAGCACAAGGCACAAGCAGCTGGACTGCAGCAAAAATCAGTGTTTGCTAGAACATACCAGCCAGAACATTCTTTCTCACTAGGGTGGTCTAGATTGACCTGCCTGTGAGGAGCTTGTGAGCATGGGATAAAGGAATCCAGAGGGGACTTCTTGACTATGGGGAGCACCAACTACTTTCCTTGGCCATTAGGTATGTGTATGATCACCTTGGAGAGAACCATGATAACATCATCAAGGAGCTCGTGGCTAGCATCACCACCTTTGCTGTCACCACCCTGTGGCTGGGGCCCTCTGAGATTGTCTACATCTGGTCTGTCGTCAACTGCTTCGGCCTCAACTTTGAGCTCTGGGTGCAGAAGTTCTTCCAGCTCGGGCTCTTTGCCAAACTGGAGGTGAGTGAATGGGGAAAAAGTCAGTGGGTCTGGGGCCAAACTCTGGGGCTGGAAATCATCCATAACTCCAAAGTTTGAGGGAACTCAGACTTGTTTATATGAGTCAGATCCATTTTCATCTGAGGCTGAAGAGCATCCCACATGATGTCATGAAGCTCCATGTCCTGGTCTCCTGGGTGGAGACCTGAAGCTCTTTCCTGTGGCCTTAGGAATCATTAAGGTTGGAAAAGACCTCTAAGATCATGAAGTCCAAACCAGCACCACCATGTTCACCACTAAACCATGTGCTCAAGTGCCATATTCAGACATCTTCTGAACACTTTCAAGGATTGTCACATCCTTGGAGCATCCTTGTGATCAGCTACTGAGCTGTGCAAGGGAAGCACAGACCTGGTACTGTGTATCCCTTCATTTTATGCACTGTGTCACCCACCCAGAGCAAACTCCTATGTGCTCTCATGATGCTTCATGGGAAATTTAGGTTGGGATGAAGCTTTCAGAAGGAAAACAGAGGTCCAAGAGCATCAGGAGTTCAGCTCCATCAGTACCACAGACAGGCACAAACCCTGAGATCTGTCCATGGGGAAATGCACAAACATTTCCTCATATGGGTAATATTCTATGGGGAATATCCAGATTCTATGATTCTATGGGGAAATGCTTATATGTTTCCTTCTGGAACTAATTTGTTCTTCTTGTTCTGCAAAACATTTTGGCATTCTGAGTGGTTTTGATCTGTTTTCTGATAAAAGCAAGTGTTTAAATACTGGAATGAATTATTTTCCAAACAATCCAAAGCTTAGTGCCTTATCTCTGTTTGGGACCAAGGTGTATTGGGGAGATGTTGGAAGAAAACCTTAGGGAACTCCATCCTAGAAACAATTATGTTCCTTATTTGTTTTTCCTAACCTGAAGTCTATTGGTTAAAATAGTTGAATAGAGATCTATTCTGAACAAAAACTGTGGAGAGGAATCCTCCTGTTTGCTCTCTGTCTTGAACTTCTAATCAGATTATGGCTCTCACAGGCAGTGAAATCTCCTTCCCTACAGCACCACAATTCTCAGCACTAAGTGGCCTGGGGATTCACCATGCTCTTTGAAGACTGATAAACTCCTTTCCTGCTTCACTTGCAGCAGCTGCTCCTGAGGATTATGTGCCAGTGACAATTTCACTCTGCTGCTGTCACTAGTTTTCAGCTTTTTTTTTTAATTCCTAAGGAACAATTTTTACCACGACCTGAGAGTGATTTGCATGTAGGGCTAATAATAATCCTGGTATACAACAGCATTCTTCTGCCCTGAGGAATGGCTTACCCAAGGGAACAGATGAGGAAAGCAGTACTCAGGCATTATGTTTTTAAAGGGGCTCCAAAAGAGCTGGAGAGGGACTTGTCACAAGTGCATGGAGTGACAGGGCAGGGGGGAATGGATTCAAACTGACAGAGGGCCGGTTTAGGTGAGATATTAGGAAGAAATTATACAACAGCATTCTTCTGCCCTGAGGAATGGCTTACCCAAGGGAACAGATGAGGAAAGCAGTACTCAGGCATTATGTTTTTAAAGGGGCTCCAAAAGAGCTGGAGAGGGACTTGTCACAAGTGCATGGAGTGACAGGGCAGGGGGGAATGGATTCAAACTGACAGAGGGCCGGTTTAGGTGAGATATTAGGAAGAAATTCCTCCCTATGAGGGTGGTGTGGTGAGGGCACAGGTTACCTAGAGAAGCTGTGGCTGCTCCATCCCTGGAAGTGTCCAAGCCCAGGTTGGATGGGGCTTGGAGCAACCTGGTCTGGTGGGAAGTGTCCCTGCCCATGGCAGGGGGTTGGAACTTAATGATCCTTAAGGTCCCTTCCATCCCAAACCATTCCATGAGTCTATGATTCTACAGTTAGCATGAAACTGTGTCTAACATCTTGCCCCCACCCACAGCACCCTGAAATACCACTCCAGAGTCCCTAGTGCAGCAGAGCAGAAGCCTTACCTTTTCCTTATATTTCTTCATCCCAGAGACACTAAAGGCTGCTCTAAGTTTTACCTCCTCTCTGGGATCCCAGCTGGAGTAGGACCAGTGCACTGACTTTCCTTACAGCCCTGTTTTTCCTCACTTACTGCTTCTCCCTTCACAGGCCAAAATGTCTGGGGCCATGTCTCGGCGGATTAGGGCAGCTTTTGGGGCAGTGAATTTCTGGGCCATTGTCCTCTACAACATCCTTGCACTCAACAGCCTGGAGTTTGCAGTGCTAGTGACCAAGAGGCTCCTCGTGACAGGTAAGGTGTTACCAGCCTTCCCCACTGAGGGACCCTTGTCTTAATGGGGGGACACTGGTAAGGGTAGCTGAGGACTGGGGCTCATGAGTCCTTTTGGGTCCAAAGTGTCCTGGCCTTTGGCTTGTTATGTAGCTGCTCCAAATTTGCCTAATTCTTATGCAAAAAGTGCAGACAGTGGTTTCTTAGCTCCCACCCTCCTTCTGTGAGTGCTCTGGGGTACAGGCTGCATTCCAGGTCTGCTCATACAACTCCTGGCACAGCCTGACACTGATTTAGACTCCTTGAAGGAGTTCCTAAAGGTCACATTCATCCCACCAAGGTGGGACATGGTCCCCTGGCTGGAGAAAGGGATTTACTTGTCCTACATTATCTCCTTTTGCTGTAGCAGTTACTCCTGCATCAACCTGAAGGTGACAGGTACAAATCCTTATGCTACAGTCTGTACATTTCTAATCAGTGGATGGTGGCATTGTTTTGAAGTCTTCTTGAGCAGCACAGGGTATAAATAGCCATTGTGAGCTTGTGTCCTCCAGCCTTCTTGGGATGAGGCTGGCATAGGGAATGGATAATGTCATGCTCTGGGCTCAGTGTGCCAGGAGTGCCTGCCCGCTGAGCTAGCTGGCTTTTGCTGGTTGCATTATTCATTTCAGAGGTCCTGTTATAGCAGGAACAAACCCTGTATCTCCCCTCTGCTGTGGATACCAGATTTGTGATTGCAAATGACGTCAGACCCTTCCTAAGTGAAGGGAGAGCTCCTGGCTCTCAGTCACTTATGTAGGTGACAAAAATACATGTTTCCCTGAGTGGACACTGTGTCCCCAAGTACAGGATGAGGCTGGGGTTGATCCTCAGCATCTGTGGGGCCCAAAGCTTCCAGAAAGTCACAGTGCTGAACAACGATGGACATGGACAGGTTGAATGGACAGAAAGTCAATCACTATGTCTGAAGATGGGGAGCAGAAGGAGTTTTGGGGGTAAGAGAGTGCTCAAAGCCACTCCAGCATGTTCCCACATTAGCTGCAGTCCATGATGCCTTGGTGGGCTCAAGCACAGCTTCATCCTGGCGATTTCTCTCTTCTCACAGTGAAGCTGCAGAGCTGGGTCCATGATAAAAAATGTCATTGGCCATCATGAAGTTGTGAGACCTCCCAAACTCACCGGATAGGCAGTTAGACAAGCAGCCACACCAAGATGACCATGTCTCTCTCCCTATTCTAGGTTTCCCTGTCAGCACCCTGTCCATCTGGTTCATCACGTACTGCGGAGTGCAGCTGATCAAAGAGCGTGAACGCATCCTGGCCATCGAGGAGGAGGAGAGGAGTGACAAGGCAAAGGTGGAGTAGGGGAGACATCAACAGGCTTGTCCCAAAGCCTTGTCTCCCTTCCAGCCACCACTGCCAGGCCAGCCACTGGCCAGGGCTCTCCAAGCCCTCTTGACAATCAGACTGCTGTAGCTCACCCATGTAGAAGTCACCTGGAAGGCACAGGTCACCCCTTTGCTGCAGGAAAGATTTTCTATCAGACACAGTGGGCATTTTGCAGGCTCCCCAAGCATGGCAGGCTGCTGAGGCAGGCTCCCAGGACATTTCATTAATGCCAGAAAGAGCTAGTCCCATCATTTTTCTGACCCTCTGACATCATGCAGGCCTAGATATTTCACCCCCTGCTTCCCACTTGGTCCACCAGCACTCGGCTCTGCCACAGGGCCTGTAGCCCATGTCTCCCAGAGGAGACTTTCCAGGTCCCATGACTGGAAGTTTTAGGGTGGGCCAGGACAGCAATGAGAAAGGGATTAACTGGTTCTGAGCCTGCAGAACCATCTCCAGGTCACTTACAGCCCAAGCATCCCATGTTCCCTTCACTACAAGAAATGATCAGCATTTACTCTGCAGTGTTCAGCGTCAGTGGTTGTGCAGTGAGGACTGTGAAATGGCTCAGCAGGACCTACTCCTACCAAGAGATAATAAATAAATAGTAGAGGCTTTATAGCAAAGGGAAGGAGGACCAGGAACAGCACATTGAAGGGTAACTCCATTGCCACCACTGTCAGCCATATACAGTGGCAGGTGTTACAATCTCTACAAAACAGGTCCCTTCACTGCTAAATGTCTTGGGAAAAGTGATTTAGTGCCAACACCAGGCATAATTAATGAGAGCACAGGAGCCAAACCTGCTTCACAGCCATTGTGCATAATGTGCAGGCTGCTTGGGGAGCGAACATGCCGAAGAAACACAACCCATGGCTCACAACTGCTTGGTCCCCAGGCCCCAACTCATGCCCCAAGGGCACTGCACTACAGGGTCTGAGACCAATGTGTCCACCAAAGCCATCCTGCTATGACACGTGTCCTGGGACTCAAACCAAATCCCATTTCTATTTTTTTATATGCTATGGACAAAGGTTTAAGCTCACATTCCTGCCCATGGCTGAGGGACAGAAGATGCTGTAGCCAACTCTTTCTCATCTCCAGCCACCCATCCCTTTATTCAACTGCCTTTGGTGCACACAGCCTAAGCTCATGATTGCATGGCTGAGTGAGGACACAGGTAAATACAGTCAAAGGAGAAAGACTCTGAATGAAGGGCAGTGCCTTGGGGTTGGGTGGTGAAGGGAAAGCCCATGGTAGCCTCCTTGGAGAAGTAGACTTTGGGAGACTGCATAGGAAGTGTGTTAAACATGGTGCCTTGGGGAAAAGGGGAGTTAATACCTGAAAAATAGCTCTGGCTCTCTTGCACTTTAGAGTAACTTTCAGTGGCCTTATGTCTGAGTTGTGTCTATGTTTGGTGAGGGCAAAATCCAGGCCCCTTTGCAATGTGGGTCAGGATGCTTGGTGCTGCTGTATTCTGGCTTCCCTGTGGATGAAACAGGATCAGTTCCTAGCCAGCTTTCAGCTCTGCCAAAGTAATTTGTGAAGTCCCTGATAAATGTCACTTATTTATGTAGTAAATAAATGTTGGACATCGATGGTGCCTGAGCTTATCCTGTTATGCTGCTGTGATGCAGGTGACACCCCAAGCAATGCCCAACCATTGGAGCTGAGAGGCACGAGGATCTGTTTGCAGGTCTTCACCTGCCACCCCTGATAGTGACACAAGACATTGTAGACTTGTTCTGTTAACAGAAACCCACCTTAGTGGCATCACCCAACTGGAGGTTGAGCTGCAGCTGGATTAATTTTCACCTTTATTTTGACTCTGCCTTCATAGTAGTGAAATATCATGAGTCTACAGCCATCAAACTGTCATCCACACGGGTTTTGAGTTAGAAACCATGTTGGTTTTATTTCTAGGAGCCCAACCAGAAGCACTGGAAGTAAGGGCAGGTACTGTGCCTTTGTGGCATCTCTTCACATCCCCCAAACCCCTTTAGCTGCCACGTACATCCCTTTTTAATACAAATCTGCTGTGGACATTTGGTAAGATGTTTCTTGGCATCTGCATTATGCCAGACTTACCTTTTCCACCAAAACAGCTATGACATGATGTGCTTCCTTCAGGGTAAAATTCAGCTCTTCTCTATATGGGTGTCCTCACACAGCTGATGCCACACTGAGCTGCTGAGCTCAAGGGCTCTGTTGCTGCAGGTGGATCAGCACAGGTCCCTGGCTGCCCAGGAGGACAGAGCTACTCAACTCCCAGTGTCAAAGTTGGTGACTCACGCGGCAAAGTCCAGTGACTCTGCACTGCCCTCCTGACTTGGATACTCTGGGAGTGAAAATAGCCCATTCACTAAGGTTCTAAATTTACCCAGCAGCTGCATCTGCTGAAGCTGCCAGAAGGAGCTAATCTTAGACACCAACTGGGCAAGTGATTTGCTAGAGAGACAGTTCACAGGAGTACTTGGGCTTGGCCTCCCTTTGCCTGAAGTTGTCCCCTCAGCTATCACTGCTGCGACAAGCCCAGGAGGTCTGGTGGGCCAGGAGCACCCTGGTGCTGCCTCAACCAGCTCAGCCTTGTGCAGGAGACCCTCAGCCTCACTGAATGCCTCTGTAGAATGGGATATACCCACAACTCATCTCCCTCCTAGAGAAGAGTATCTCATCTGATCTGCTTATTGCCTGCCTGTCCATAAAGCTCAGCCAAGAAGCCAAGAAAAGCAATTCCTCATGGCAGTTACAAATCCTAATTAATAGCCATACACTGGACACTTTCTTGTTCAGCCTGACATGGCTATAATTTCTGCATTCACATTTCTTGTTCTAAAATTTTGTATGGGAGGGAGTGATCCTGTTATATTACATGCCCTTAGGATGCTTTTCATGTATCCTCACTGTTGTGGCTTAATCCTAGCTGGCAATTAAGCACCACACAGCCTCCATCCTTGACACCCTTGGGGAGAAAAATCAGGAAAAAAAAAGGTACAGCTCATGGGTTGGGATAAGAACAATTTAATATTTGGAAAGAAATGATTATGATGATGATATAACAATAATAACAACATCAACAATAATAATAATAATAAATTATGGTGGTGATGATTATAGTAATTATAAATATAATAATGATAATTATGATGATAATAATAATATTAACAATAGGGAGAGAGAATAACAGAACCCAAGAAAAACAAGAGATGCACAAAAGGATTGCTCACTGCCCACTGACTGGTGCTCAGCCCATCCCCAAACAGTTATTGGCTCCTTTCTGGGCAACTTCCTCAGTTTATATACTGGGCATGATGTTCTGTGGTATGTAATATCTCTCTGGCCAGTTCAGGTCAGCTTTTCTGCCCATGCCACTTCCCAGCTTTTTGTGCAGCTCCTCATTAGCAGAGCATGAGACACTGAAAAGTCCAAGGATTGCTCACTGCCCACTGACTGGTGCTCAGCCCATCCCCAAACAGTTATTGGCTCCTTTCTGGGCAACTTCCTCAGTTTATATACTGGGCATGATGTTCTGTGGTATGTAATATCTCTCTGGCCAGTTCAGGTCAGCTTTTCTGCCCATGCCACTTCCCAGCTTTTTGTGCAGCTCCTCATTAGCAGAGCATGAGACACTGAAAAGTCCTTGACTCAGGGTGAGCACTCCACAGCAAAAGCCAAAACATCATTGTGTTATCAACATTATTCACATCCTAAATCAAAAACCACAGTACTGTGCCAGCCACTGGGCTGAAAATTAATGCTGTCCCAGCCAAAACCAGGACACTCACCCAGTGCCTTGCCATGGGGGAACTATTGCTGACATAGAGACACTTAATAACAGACTTAGTCCATTGATCTTGGAAATCACTGGCTGCAGCTCTGTGCACCAAGGGGACAGAGCATTTGAAAAACCAGGGCTGCTTCCCCAAGCCTTGGAGCTGGAGTGCAAAGCCACTGAAGGCCATGGAGATCCCAAAGCAGGTTCAGGACCAGCACACATCCTAAATCAAAAACCACAGTACTGTGCCAGCCACTGGGCTGAAAATTAATGCTGTCCCAGCCAAAACCAGGACACTCACCCAGTGCCTTGCCATGGGGGAACTATTGCTGACATAGAGACACTTAATAACAGACTTAGTCCATTGATCTTGGAAATCACTGGCTGCAGCTCTGTGCACCAAGGAGACAGAGCATTTGAAAAACCAGGGCTGCTTCCCCAAACCTTGGGGC